AGCTAGTTGGGACGCTGGCCAGGGCGTTATGGTCAGCTCCAGTGAACTAGAAATGTCACTGGTTGCCAACACCAGGACTTTCCTTATAATGAGCCAGCATGCGGTTTATGTGGGGGGCAAAGCGCCCTGGGAAGCCCCCCTTTCCGGCCAGAGCTTCCCAGGTTGCTAAGACCTAACAGATCTTAGCAACCTGGGATGCTGTGGCCTGCGTCCATGCCCCCCTCTTGGCAACCTTGACATTTCTGGTTGCCAGGAGCTGAGCGAGACACCGGTCAGAGAATCCCAGGTTGCTAAGAGAATTGTTGCTATTTATTTATTTACTTCTTTATTAAGCCCCCCCGCCCCCTCGGTTAAACTATAAGGAGCTGCGGGGAGGGAACAGTGAAAAGACATCAGTAAAGCTGATTGCGAGGTTATTGCGGTCTTGATAATATTTTATTGCTTTTGAACTGCTACTGTGTCTTTTTATCTGTAAGGCGGAAAGTTAATGATATAAATAGAGACGTGACATTTGCCTTTGTGTCTCTTTCAGACGCGATCTGACAACGACGGAAATGACGAAAGCGCGGCCCGTTGCAGCTCCAAGGCGGCTCTGTCCCTGAATATCGCCGCTCTGGTCCTCGGAGTGATCATGTACATTATTATTGGCGTGATTATGTCCCAGAGGTATTAAATGGTACTTGAGCCCGGGTGATCCCCCTTCATGTTAGACGCCCATCTGTCTAATGGCATTACAACGTCCGTTGGCGTTTTGCAGTTACTTTTGTTCTTTGTTTTGATTTCTTCTGTTTTTGCTTTTATAATAAATTTCTATCTTAATATTGTGGACATTTTTAATTGTCCAAGAAAAAAAAAATACAATAGAAGGGTCATTTTCCATTGCAACAGGTTCTGTTTCATAAAAATGCAACTATAGCGACACGCTCAAACTCTGGAGTGGATTCCACTGGAATTCTCTCATGGGATTGTAGGCAACATTCTCTTACTATATACATTGTAAATAAAAGACACACACCAAGTATTGGCAAATGATGGCCGTGGCAAATTTTATTGGTATAATATAGGGCTGTGCAAATTAACGATTAATTTCTCGATTTAATCGTTAATCTTTTTGATCGATTAAACATTTTTTGATCGCTAATGAAAATACTCACCTCTCCGCCGTCTTCCGGGAGTCCCGTCGGAGATCCGGTGACGTCACGGATATCGACGTCACCGGACTCCTCCCCCTTCCCCAAGTGGCTCCTTTCGGCTAACGAAGGGAGGGGGGGGAGGAGTCCGGTGACGTCACAGACATCGACGTCACCGGACTCCTCCCCCTTCCATGCTGTATGTGTATAGGCCAATGTAGTTGGATCTGTATGTGCGTTATAATTCATCGAAATTAATCGATTTAAAAAAAATTCCATTATTTGAACACGAAAATTTTAATCAGTAACTGCCCTAGTATAATATAATATAAATAATTAACTTTAAAACCATCAATTAATAAACCAAATTCATAACACTTAAAACCAACCACCTGCCCAGTCATTAAAACTCTGGCAGAATCAAATGACTTAATGTCAATTAGTCCCCCCTCAAATTTTGAGGTGACAAACCACATAAAAAAGCCGCGACTAGCGAGGGAGGGGGCTTGCTGTGCTGCGATCCGGACAACTGGCGCTGAGTCCGGGAAAAGCCCCCCTATATATACAGGGTGAGGAGGGTCCTTCCAGAAGGTTCCAGAAACTTCTCGAATCCGCTGATTTTCCCCGCCTAAATTAACCGCCTGAGGTGATTTAAAGGGGCGGTAGCTCTGAAAAAAAAAAGTAAAGAAAAAACCAGCAGAAGCCACAGAATCATTGGGTTGCCACAATATCATGTCATTGGGCCTCTTATTTGAGGTCCCCTTTCCCATTCACAGTCATGTCCGCTCACCTGTCTGCTGTCGCTCAGCCCCCTTTAGAAGTGTATAAAAACCCTAAATTGATTTGAAATGGATTGACCTAAATCAAGGCACAGGATGCCCCACCCCTGAAAATGGTATATCAAAAAATTAGAAAAGTTGGGGTTTTTTGGGCAGCCGACTGACAACTTACAAACCAAACATTTGTTTAGAAAATATAATTTTATTTGATTAAAAGGTGAATAGAATTAATAAAATTGACAACATGATTCCCCTATAAGCTCACTCCACACTAATTAAGTTCATTCATATAAGGATGACATTCAGAGACTTATACAATGAAACATGATTGAAAAACATAGTAATTAAAATATTAATTGACACAATACATGATTGGTATAAGGAAAAGTGATGGAGGAGCTTGATTTTCTCGACGTGTCGCGCTGAGTAGCGCTTCTTCAGGAGATGGAGAGAGAAGTTGTCCTTGGAGACTGTGTGCGTCCCAATCGTTCCACCCGGCTCAGACGGTGAGAGAGTAAAAGCATGAGGCAGGGGGGGGGGGAAAGGGGGGGGGGGGGGGGGAACAAGAGAGAGGGAGAGAGAAAAAAAATGGAGGCCCTCAACCCCAGTGGAGGCAGACCCAATCAAGAGATGGCGGAGGTACCACTGCTCGCAGAGGATTGGAAGTGGATTCAAAAGATTGTCGGTCAGCGACGTGAGGTAGCCGTTCCTCTCTCGATATCGAGCCCCCAGCAGCTAATACAGCCCTCTCAGGCTGTACAGCCTATAAGTACGGCATATAAGGTCAATGACATCAGCACAAGCATCCCCCTTTGTTTATGTTCAGCTGTGGGGCGGGGAATACCCTGGCCCACAGCTGATTAGGCAGGTGACCTCTTGTCCCTTATGGGTTCAGAGGAGCTCAGGTTTGGACCAGGCCATCTCCTTTGACTTTTCAATGGTGGTTTGTTGAGCCAGATGGGATGGACATGGCCGCCCGCAGCTCAAATTTTGGCCAAATCAGCAGGAATTGACTGAAATTTGAGTTTCATATGGCCTATCTAGAGGCAGAGCCAGCTGTACCCGCCCCCTCCCCTGTCTGTTCCACCAGTCAGGGCTGGAGGATCGGCGAGGGGAGGCAATCCACGTGCAACCACCTTATCAGATTTATTGTATTAACTGCAGAAACCAATAGCAACCACTTGACTTTCCGACTAGGTAGCCTTCTATATGGATTGCTATGGGTTATTGCACTCTGGAAGCAGCAGTCAAGATGGTGTCCGGTGGGTCAAGGCAATGGACTCTTAAAGGAGAACTATGGGGTCAGTGTTTTTCCCCATAGTTCTCCTTAAGGTAATGGGAGGACACAAACTAGCGTCCTCCCGTCACCCTAAGCTCAGTATATAGGGAGCTACAGCTCGCGGTATACTGAGACGCCGCACTTGGAGCGGATCCCGACCTAGATGACGGGATCCGCCCAGCTGCGTGAGTGACAGCTGGCTCTGCCTATCTAGAGGCAGAGCCAGCAGAGGTGTTGGTGTTGTGTATGTGCTGCAAGCCTCGAAGCTAAAAAGGTTGTGAGTTCAAATCCTCATACAAGCACAGTTTAAGTCTCTTCGATAATAACTGACCGCTTGTTAACCTATTTTGAATGTTCATTGAGCTGCACACGAGCAGCTCAGAGTACATTCTTGGCATGCCTCGGTCCGGGATAAATTAACTCCCATGTGCATCCCAGCCCAGGCAATCAAGATGGCCGATAATGCAGAATGGGTCAGAAGATTGGTGCCGGTGAGGGAGCTCATGGACATCACTGGAGGTTAGGTAGGTGTTGTCAGCTGTCTACGGATCAGGTTAAAGGAGAACTATGGGGTGAGTGATTTTCACTCAACCTCATAGCTCGAGCCGACGTGTGACAATGAGACTGTCACACGTCGGCTCAATAGATCGGGAAGTGAGCGAACACATACCGGCGCTCGCTCACTTCTCGATCATGTCCCTGCAGAGAACCGTGACTGTCACTCACGGCTCCCTGCAGGGATTGCCTCCCCGCGCCGATCCTCCAGCCCTGACTGGTGGAACAGACAGGGGAGGGGGCGGGTACAGCTGGCTCTGCCTCTAGATAGGCAGAGCCAGCAGTCAATCACGCAGCTGTGTGGATCTCGACAGTAATGTCGGGATCCGTTCCGGCTGCGACGGTCTCAGTATACAGCTAGCTGTAGCTGGCGGTATACTGAGCTTTGGGTGACGGGAGGACGCTAGTATGGGACTTACCCCATAGTTCTTCTTTAAGTTTTATGGTTTGGTTAAAGTTGCAGAGGTTAGGTTTTAGGGTTTGGTTGATGCGAGGGTTCAGCGATTGGTCAGAGCAGAGGTCAGGCAGATATAGGGAAATACAATCCTCCCCCCC